AAATGATGCTAACTTCCTGATCATATATTGAACATTATCTAATTAACTAATTTTCAACCAGCCATTATTTGCGGTGTGTGTGTGTGTGTGTGTGTGTGTGTGTGTGTGTGTGTGTGTGCATGTACATACAAGGTGGAGTGAGTATATTGAATTTGGAAGAGCATTTTATAAACTTACATTTGATTTGATATCCTAAAATTATACATAATTTGTTATGTGAGATTTCTTTTTTTTAAACCCACACCAAAGGAGGGATGGGTTTTTTAAAAAGGTGATAAACCCAATTCTAATCAGTGTGCCTGCTGTTAGGCTATTTACACAGCAAAAATAACAATTTCACTTCAAATTTCAGCTCTAACATTTCTACATGTGGAGCTATTTGATTCCCTTAACACCTGCAGAAAACTTCTTAAGTGCCAGATCCTGTGGGTGTTGTACTGTGAGTGTTACAAGATGAAAAAGACATGTTTCCTATCCCCAAAGAGTGTATGTCTTGTAGGGGATTTTATAGCATTTAACACATCAGTTTGAATCTCAGAAAAAAATAATATCAAAAATGTTTTAATTTCTAAGACTGAAGTTAGCAAATCCTCTGCTTTTTTTCTCTATAGCATTGTATTCAGTTTCTTTCTTGGGATTTTGGAGTATAGAAATAAATTTTTGGAACCTACATATGGGTTCGAAGTCCTTAGCAGGCTGCTGTCAGGGAATATTACAATGAATGTTGTTTGATTAGAGTGAAAAAGGGAAAAAAATTGTGCTAATTCTGTGTGTGTGTCAGGGGATGTATATTCTATTAAAAGTGGGATTCTACATGCATACGTAGAGCCTTGATCAATATTTATGTGTATGTACTCCCTGCAGGATCAGCCTCCAACTTCAGCTTTTTCAGATGGATGAGGTCTCTTCTGATTCCCTCCTGCAGGTCTGTGTCAATCTGGGGTCAGGACCAGGGCGGACGAGTGTCCTGGGGCTCTGGGAGGTGCTCAGGGTGGCCCCTTCCTAGCTGGACTTGGGTCAGTTGTGGTGTGGAAACCTGACAATGGAGACCCTCAGGGAAATTCTGACTCTGCTCCTAACTGCTCCCCCCACCAAACCTCCAGCCTCACCTCATCAGAAGCTTCCTCTGGCTCATGTCCTCTCCACTTCTTATCCTCAAGAATCATGAACGGAGCCTTTATTTACTGTCTGATTGCTGGGTGGTAAGTCAAGGGAGCTACTTGCAGTGAGTTCATAGACTGAGACACATTGGCATCAACACATCATCGTTCACACGATTAAGGCCCAAAGGACTCCCATTCTTCCATCTCAAGTCAGGCAGTTGCTGTGACTGTGTTGATGAAAGTACAGAGGCCAAGGACAGCCATAGAGTAAAGATCCTGGAGGATTTCTGTAGAACCTCCATGTTCAAATGCACAGGGAAAGGGAATAACACCCTTTCCTAGAAGGCCTCGTAGAGAAGGTAAGGTTTCATAAGCGCCCTCATTTCTTCCTTCCTCCTCCACCCATCCGGTGCCAACCACTTTGTCTTCAGACCGACGTGGTGTCAAAAGCCTGTGTAGTTTGCCTCGCAGCTTCCTCACCTTTGAAAGCCTCAGGACTCTGGGACATTGCTTCCCTCCCCTTTCAGTATCAGTGAAAAACCCAAGCCACAGGCT